TTTCAGAATACACACTCATTTTTATAAAGACAAAATTCATACATTTATTTTAATATATTTATACTATAATTGCATCAAGCAAATTCAAAATAAAATTATTTCATAATACTAATAAAATACCTGCTTACTTTAAGAATGAGTAAGATCCTTTCTGTCAGGGCTAGAGATGGCTCAGCAGTTAAAAAGTATTGGCTGCTCTTCCAGATGACCAAGTTTGATTTCCAGCACCTATATGGTAGGTGACTCACGACCTTGTAACTCCAGTTCCAGGACATCTATAACTCCCTCTTCTAGCCTCTGCAGGCACCAGGCACACATGGCGCACACACACATACATGCGAGCAAAAAACCCATACACATAAAACAGTAATTTTTAAAATCCTGTCATTTATTACCAGCTTATTTCTAATTCCACAGAAGATATCCATAAATTATATGTATTCTTATCATATCCACCTCCAAGACTAAAAAAAGAATTGTTTTAAAACAAGTCTACTTTATATTTCATCACTTAGGAGGGGTGGAAAGAGGTAAATTCAAGCCCAGCCTCAGCTCTACAAGTTCAAAGCCAGTCACGCTTCAGGAGACCTTGTCTCAAGTAGATAAAGTCTGTCATACTCAGTCATCTTCACTGCTTTTGAAAAGGACTGAAGATTAATCATTGAGACCTAGGACCAAACATGGTAGCTGTCTATAGTCTCTGAGCTTGAAAGACTAAGTCAAATTTTATGCCAGCCTGCGCTCTATCATGAGACCTCGTCACAAAACCTAGAAAATTTAACTGTAAAGGGAACAGTTTAGTATGCAGTAAGTCCCTGTGTGTTACTAAAGATATAATTAATGAATTTCTGGATATCCAGCCCCTGTGCACTATTTTTTCCCATGCGACTACACTAACTGACCTACCATTCGCACGGCTTCCCTAGTCACTTGCTTCTTAATGAGGCTGCACTACTAGCCAATTCACTATCAGGCAAAGTTTTTTTCTGTTTGGTTGGTTGGCTTTGGTTTTTGTTTTGTTTCTGTGATAGGGTTTCTCTATGGAGCCCTGGCTAGCACTCACTAGGTAGACCAGGCTGACCTCGAACTCACAGAGTGAAAGTTTTTAGCATGTTCAGAACCATGGCAGTGCATGACCAGTACCCGTACCATTACTTTACAAACGCCCAAGCTTCCTTTCAGATCTCACGCTCCAGTTACAGTGAGAGGAAGCTGTTGCTGGCTCTGCTGCTCCTGCTGTCAGCACCGAGAAGGTCGGAAGGATGCAGGCTATAATCCCAGCTCCTCAGTTTACTGTGATGAGTTACTTAAAATTCTGCACTTAATTTTCTCTCTCCGTAAAAGGGAAATAAAAACCTGGGCTACAGAACTGTCAGGAGGATCAGAGGAGAAAATATATGTAAAGCTCTTTTAATAATTGCTGGTGCATAGCAAGCACTCAGTAAACACCAGTTATTACAGCCCTAGGATCCAGCTTCAAAAATGCCATCATCTGGGACTATGTAACATGGGGGGGAAAAGACTATAACCACGTTTATACAAGGATTCTTTACATATAAGACCCTTTTAAAAGAGGACGAAATTCATTTACCAAATAGAAACTTTTGAAATCAGTGTTAATTTTTCTCTGACTTTTATCAGATCTGGTCACAAAATGATGAGTGCAACACTATAAAATGAGAATCTGCATTCTAAAATGGCCAAAAGAATTTAAAACCAAAGCACTCTTGTATTTCTGCCTGCAGAATGATTGCTTACGTGTCTAGGCCATTTCTGTCCTTTTCATATTTTACAGGAGCCGCATGGCTAGAGAATTTAGACAGTTAACAAAGAAATTTAGAGGAAAACATTTCAGTTTTGCTTCAGAAAGAAATGAAATAATCAAAAATATTAAAACATCAAGTTTCAAAATGTAATCAAATCAGATCTTCCAATGATTTTAATACTACATAGATTTATTACTAAAATACTCAATATAATGGGATGGAAAGATGGCTCAGTCGTTAAAGGCTAGGCTCACAACCAAAAATATAAAATACTAAACATTAATCAACAAGAGACAATAGTATCAAATTCACAAACGGAAACATCAGACGTTTAAAATGTAAATTAAACAAGTAATCTGTGTGTCTGATACAGCATTGAAAATTTTACTGAATGTGAAAATTACTTTTAAAAATTTGGAAAACCATTACTTTGTCTACACACTTTAAAATGCATACTTCATGTGACTAAGAATTCATTCCTGAAATTTTCTAAACGCAAATCACGAAAATTGTTGCTTGAAAATAACTGCAATGAGAAAATGTACTGTTTTTTTTTTTTTTTTCCTTTTCTTTTCAAGGCGACTGAGAATTAAAAAGGAAATGGCCAAGGGAAAGGGGAGGGCCGTTTCCTTTCACACGTTAGTAAATGTCAAAGAACTTTCAGGAGTCAAATCTCCTAGAAGTCTGATGCGGGGTCAAAGTTGTCTCAATGACAGGAAAGCCAACAGACGCCAGATGACTAATAGCAAAGTTATCAAAACACTTGTGTGCCCAGCAGTAACTCCAGAAGCATACAAAGTACAAATGTCCAGGCTGAGAAGACAGAGAATAGCTAAGATTCTTGCGAGCAAAACAACATTAACGATGGCAGCAACAAACAGTATTATACAACGTATCAAGATTCTCACACGCTGCTGCCTTCCTCGACATTATTCTATTTATCAGGTAACATTTTTAAATAACGAAAAGTAACATGAATTCCCAAAGAGAGATCCAAATGTAAAAATAAGGTTCAATCAAGTGAGTATTTAGTTCTTCCTACTGTAAGCCAAATCTGCTTCTTTACATTAAAAAAAAAAACTACCAGCTCTATCTCCAAAATTCTAATAGACACAATTCATTAGCGATTAAAACATTATTTTTAATCCTTGCATTACCTCACAGCTAAAAATGTCAAGATACCACACCCAATATGTCTTTCTACCCCCTCCCGTGGGGGAGGGGTCAGGGAATACGAGAGTGGGGACGGGAAATTACACGAAAACAGTGCAGGTGATTTCCCTGGCAGGTTCCTCCACCGGGATCCGAGCGCACACGTTGAGAAGGGCGAGCACAGGCCTCGGCCTCTGCAGACTCCCTCCCTAGCCACCCGCTGGGGTAGGAGCCCGGACGCGCCACCCAGGGCTACTCACCAGCCGTAGTGCTGACCAACAGGGCGGTCCATAGCAGCCAGGGCACCCGACAGGGTCGCTGCAGCGAGGAAGTCATCCCTGAGCCAGCCAAGAAGCAGGAGGGCAAAGAAAAGAAATCTGGAAAGTAAATTCGGGCGGAGAAAGCCGGCCAGGAGGCTGCTCGTCTCTCCGTCTGATTTATCCTGCCCGGATTACAATGCAGTTTGAAAGGACAAATGGCAGATGCGAGGACCTAGCTGGAGAGCTCTCATTCCACTGCAGAATTTCCCTTCATTTCGCTCCCTCGATGCTGGGGGGCTTCATTCGCCTAGGACAAGGTGCCTCGGCTCCCCAAACTGAAGGCATGTCCGTGGGGGGAGGAGAGGGAGGAGAGAAGCAGGGAGTCCAGAAGAAATGCCTGCAATTATTTCCCTCGTAGCTTCACGATATCAAAAAAATATCCAGATCTGGGAGAAAACATATCCAGAGTGCCGGG